GGAGGTGTGCGTCAGCGAGGTCACGTGACTAGTATCACGCCATGTCCTTCTAGAAATATCCTGTTCCCTCATGAATGCTCTAGCGTTTATTAGATATGTGTTAGTCTTGTATATATATATAAGACGATCACAACGTGACGGGACAGTATATGTGTAATTGAACTAAGTATTGTTGAGTCGAGCACGTGAGACGTAAGTTGAGAATTATAGCGTTTGTTATAGCGCGACTGTTGAAATTAAGTGTATCGCAAAGTTATATTCAGAAAGAATAAACCAGTTTTATCTAAGAAAGGACTTGTGTCGCTAAAGTTTCGTCGGAACGAATTTACGGAAAATTAACTAACGAACGGAGACGTAACAATACATAAAATTGTCAGTGGTGTTTTTCGAATTAAAACAGAGATAAAATTTACAGTTTAATAAAAATAAATACAGAAAGGTTTACAAGACATAAAAACAATAATAAAAATCTACACTGAGAAAACAGTTTAAAATTGTTTATTCAAAATGTTTCGAATATCACATATAAAGATAAGACATTTTATTTGCAGAAAGTACAGAATCATCGAACGTAATTCCGAAGTTTCAGACTATTTCACCTAATAGGTTTTCTTTTCATAATTTCATTTAATAAACCACGCAACATGTGCTTTAAATCGACACATCCGAGCTCGGTAGAGTTAATTTTACTTTATTCTAACCATTATTGGTAAGAATGCTGGGTATGGCTTAGTGTTTGATGTTGTCATGATATAAGAGACTGTTTAGTGTAGATATGATTGATATATTTATTTTGTGAATGAATATGCTATGATTGTTTAGTGTTTTTATTACAATAAGAATGTTAAAAGCAGACAGACAGAACAAATTGAGATTTACGATAAGCAGAAGTGCGGCCAAAAGAAAGGTTAGAAAATTTCAAGTGTTATGAGTAGCGCCCTCGTGGGCTTAATTGTTGGAGTTTCAAATAAAACTGCCCGTCACACCAAATTTATTTATTTGGAGGATTTGTTGTAACGAGTGGAGCCACAAGTCGCTAACTCGAGGTAATTTACAGTTAGAATAAAGAGACAGAGTCCCAGACCAACATTGAACTATTATAACAACATTTATTAATCATTTCTAACTAGCATCTAATATAGATCAAAAGTTTGTTAACTGTTAAACACTTTAACAAACACTGTTAATCATTATACACTTTGAGCGCCGTTAACATAGGCTCTCCAGCATTACACATAGATACACTTCTTCTTAGTTTAACATAATATTCCTTTAAATTACTTACACTAACTGATTAAGAGAGAACTCACAAACTATACTCACAACAGAGATGGACTGGTAAATTTACTGATATTAGAAACCTACATAGCTCGGGAACTTCTGCCAGCAGAACTTCTAGAGGGAGGAACTTTCTGAACCCTGGAGGAATTCTCTGAATCCTGGAGGAGCTCTCTGAATCTTGGAGGAGCTACTTTTTCAGCTCCAGATACGGGTTTATAAACCATAATTTCTTAGTATTCTTTCAACCCTCCAAATAGTATCCAGCCCTACCCGCAAGTAGTCCTGCCACTCTATTGGTTGCTTTAGGGGAATTCCCGGACTGATCCAAAACCATAACCAATAATCTCTGTAGTGTAAAGAATTTGTTGTACATACGTTTAACTTGTTCCTAATATATATATATTGAAAACAAGTGGAGTGCGTGCTGTTCATTTATCGTTGAATTTATTGCCAATAAGTCACAGACACCTACTGTAGAAGAATTTTAAGCCCAACAACGACAATACAGTATATATTTACACTATTAAGAAGTATAAGTAAAAGCCTTTAATTGACTATTGGCGAATATAACTATAACAGCTGACTGATGTGCCTGACTGTGAGACCGAGGATCCGTGGCTCGCATCCCTTTATTAAACAAACAATATATTTTGGGGTCATGACAGTTAAATCTATGTATTATTTGATTAGAGTATCTCAAAAGTTGGTTGTAGGTGCTGTTGAGCTGTTCAATAGCTGCCATCCCTCTAGTCTACAGTGCAAAATTAGAGACAGCTAACTGATAGCCCTTGTATTACTTTGTGAGAATATCTAAAACAAACAAACAAGGAATATTAACTTAACTATATTCATTGCTAGGTTTATTTTAGTTGTGATCTATGTAGGCAGTTTGCTTTAGTCAGAGTTCATAAAGATGGTTAAGTGCGTTTTGAGATCATTTTGTAAATGTAAACCAGCAAGTCACATAGCAACCATATCTGATATGAAGTTTTAGTGAATCAGCATTTGTTAGAATTACATTTTGGCGTTGTGTAGATAGTGTGATACCACTGAAAATTGGTCACTTTTGGGAAGGGTAACAGCTCTTTCTGATGCAAAATATTTATTCATACTTTCAAATCATAAAATTGTGTTCAGATTGGGGATTTATAATTTCCAAGATAGGGATGACCCTTGAATTTAAAGGTATTGTAAAAGGGGTGTGGATCCACTTGGGGTAACAAGATCATACAGAAAGAGACCTGGACCAAATTGTATCACAGCCTTTGTAAGTAAAGTGTAGTGTCTTGTACGTATGATAATCCATAAACATAAAGATCAGTGGACGTCTACATTTCCCAGTCAACAGTACACAACA